GCCAGGAGCATCTGCATTGTCGCCAACGATTTTGGTGGGATTAGCTACATCAGGCACTGCTGAAATGAGAGGATCATTCCCATCAAGGTGTTTCCTCTTCTTGGCGGCCTGTTGTTGCTGTTGTTGGTTCTTTCCTTTCTTGTAGTTTTTGTTCAAGGATTCAGCCTCAGTCATCTCAACATCGTCTTTAGGCACTGCTTGCTCAGGTCTTGAAGCCAGCCCAACAATATCCACCACGCCTCGGAATCCACTGCGTTTGATCCCCTCGTTGACGACGACACCACGGGGAAGGGCGGCTAACCCCTCGGTTGCGCGGTCTGTAGATAAACCCCAGACATTCAAGAGGTTGACGACGTCGGCCGGAGCACGGATGCCCAAAGCAGACCGCGCCTCGCTGCTGATGACGATGCCTCGGCCGCGTGTGGCGCGGATGAGATTGGTCAAGTTCCCAATGAATGTCGCGCGCTGCCTCGCGTCTATAGCTTTCGGCTCCCCTCCTCCTCGGCCACCACCTCCCCCTCTACCACCAGCCGGATTGACATAATGGACCGGACTCGGACCCTGCAGCGCCTGGGCGTAGCAGACCTCGAAGCGCACGCCGCGATTGACAGCAGTCATGCAGACCTTGGGCCTGAGAGTGAACGGCAAGCGCTCGGTTAAGTCGAGGGAGATGAGCGAGATGTACTGCAAGTCCCCGCAGACGGCGGCGAAACTGGCGTCGGTGGCGGGGCGCACGGCGAGGATGTCGTAATTGGAGGCAAGCTGGGGGATGCGGTGGTGCTGGGCGTTTTCGATCAGGACGAGGGTGGCGCGGCGGAGGACGGAGGCGGGGTATTGCTTTTGTTGCTTTTGCATCTGAGATGAGGATACTGACGATGGGGGGCCGTTGAGTTTCGGTAGAGGGTTCGTGATTACGGGAGGTAGATTGCCGCCGATTGTGTGGTTGAGAGCTACTACATCGTACCCCAGTGATGCGCTGAAGCGTAAGGTGCGGTCGAGGTCGGGGGTGGTCGTGGTGGGCGACCAGGATATGTTAAGGTCGTAGTACATCTTCTGCGGTGCTCATGGCTTCCTTCGTCGTGACCAGAATTTGGGGGTTGGAGGTTGCAAAGCAAGTGGCGGTCGTGACGGCGGTAGGGATTGAGCAGGATAGCCTAGGCCGGTACTCAGACCAATGATATGTCAGTAGCTTAGTAGCTTGCTCATAGTAGATAGAGTTGTTTTGTCTATCAAGCCAAATGATGTTTTGCAGAGTGCAAGTCCAGGAACAAAATATTTTGGAAGGGTTGATCTTTGATAGTTCCCCCACATTTTGGTGGGGGCCTTCTTGTGTAGATGCTCTTCACCCGTAAGTTGTAAATTTGTACCTTACAGCCATCTCCTCTTTCACCATCTTGTCTACATAAGGTCTTCTCCTGACTAATCATATAGGGCCACTCATGGAGTACTCTGACCAACAGTCGCCGTGCGAGTTGAGACATGTGTGCCGTTTTAACAACGCTCAAGTCAATGCTTGATGCGCCTAGGATACCGGCAGCTACGTGATGCATGAGAGTGGAGGGTCCGCGGATGGCCGGTAGACCTCCAGTTTAGTGGGGTGTAGGACGGCATCGCACGGCCCGAAGTGGCCCATTTGTCTTCCCATTATGCGGCCATTCATCAGCTCCCCGCCGCTATGTCTACCCAATTGACCGAGTGATTGACAGCTGGAGCTTTTTTGGTGGTGTAATCTATGTCGACATCCATTATTACAAGCGCGAGCCATCAATAGATACTCTCAAAACCGTTCTTGACCCGTCATCTCGCATCACCTCATTACTCACCCACTCTCTTGACTCCCTTGACCTTATCTCCGGGAGCCTGGTTTCTGCGTGATATATTACCATAACAGTCATCACTGATGTTTGATGACGATGTCGCCGTCATTGTCCTCGCCGTCCCGGCCCTTCTCACAGCTGGGCTCGGACAACGCCTGCGTGACACCGGCGTGTTCCACACCCCGGGCGACCAAGCATAAAGGTGTCAGTAATGATGATGCTCATGAAAATAACCGCAGCCACCACAACGACGATGACCGCAGTAATGATCTGTCTGTCTCGAACCTCGTCGGCGATGCCCACGACGATGCGGGTCCTACTGGAACAACAAGTGGCAGCCAACTGTCTGACTGCGAATAGGCTTCGATCAATGTATATATCACCCTTCCATCCAGCTATTTTACCCTCTTGCTCTTGTTCTTTCTACAATGGCATACTAATACCACTTTGTGGAAACCAACAGGCTGCCGTAGCTACGCATGCTACTGAGCTGCCTTCAACAGCTAGTCCATCATCTTGTCGCCCTGACTCCTCCTCGCGCTCGCGCAACGACTTGCTTGGGGTCGACGACGGCGAAGAAGAGAAGACAATAGACCAGATCGTCGACATCATCCGCCGCATCTCCCAAGGTCATTGGTTCCCACCAGCAATAACGGAGCAGCCCCAGCACAGAGCCATCTTCTACCTACGCAAGGACCCCGACGCATTCGAGAGACTCTACAACCGCCTGTCTTCTCTAGACCTGCAAGACTACTTTGACAAGCTGCGCGTGCGCTGGGAAGCCAAAACAGGCTTCCTTTGCTTCGACATCAAGCCGTGGACAGAATTCCAATCTGGGATAATAGATAATGCCTTCAACTATTTCCTTCGCGAGCCCCAGTCAATGAAAAGACCTTCGTTGTCCGAAGTGGCCTACTCAGGGACTGACGAAGAGGGCGGCGTTGCCTGGAAGATGGCGCAACACTGGATGCTTCACACAAACACCGTCAATGTCGTGCTTTTGTTAGATATCCCCGCCACTAGCTTGAAAGAACGTCTTAATCCGGGCTTCTGCCACGTCGGTTATGTTACTCTACTTTTGCGACGTAGTGTTTTGCCGCAGCAGCAGGAGAGCATCGAGAAGAAGATGATGGCGGTAAATACTAACCACCATCTCGTACACCCCGATTACGCCGTGTTTCGAGACAGCAAGGGAAATGCTCTACAGGGACAGGTCGAGATCCCGCTGGATGTCTTCTTGCCCGCTAGCAAGCGGTCGGATGCCACTGGTCAATCCAAGCTTACTCTACCGTTTAAGCTCCTTGCAACTTGGTTGCGTAGAGCTAAAATAGCCGAGCGCTATGTAGTGCAGAAAGAAGAAAAACAGCGTCAGATCTAGAACGGCAACCAAAATTTCTATTAGTATATGTTTCGAGTCTTTAACGGTAGTACAGACGCGACTAGACAAAAAGAAGCGGCGAACTAAAAAGCTCGTCCTGCTCTTTTTTCAATACGATCTTTTTACTCGGATACAGCAGATCTGCGCTTACGATTGATAATATTATACCATTCCTATTCTTCTTTGTTTTTTTTTCCCATGGGATGGTTTACAGTGCCTAGATTGCTTGAACTGCCGACGCAGGCGGTCTATCAGCTGTTGACTAGATCGACAACTGCTAGATTTGCCCGTCATCTGCTTTTCGGGGAAAAGCCTGAAATGGAGGAGAATGTATTACCATGAATCATCTGGATCGTCACTATGATCGTTAGATGCCACCTGATGTGTTATTTCTCTACTTGCTACTGGTTAAGTAGGCAGGGAGTAGACCAATGAACTAACTATCAAGATTTATTTATTCGGGTTTTCTTTTTGTTTCCATGTTTGACGACGAAATGGGTAAAAGAAAAGAAGAAAAGAGAAGAAAAGCGTGTCGACCAGAACGGATATGAAAGGAACCTGTCGGATGATGACTTGCACAGGAAGAAATCGCATTGTCAGATTAGAAAACAGGCCGGGAAAAGGAACTGTATACTTATGAGATACCTCCTTCAGAGTTCTCCCGAGGTGTATGCGTGTGTCGACGCAACGACGTCATGCAGTGTATAAATAAAGCCAAGCTCATGATGCATTGAGGGGCAATCTTATCTACCGGTAATTCCCGTCTTAGCTGCCATGCCACCACAGAAGCGGAATCTCGCTCGACATAGTCGCAGTCTGCAGATTTCTCCAATTGCTATGATCTCGAGATATTCATATCAACATGCAAACTTCACGCGACTCTTCCGTCTAGTCATTACCGCTCTGAGCAGGGGTCCTTGCCCTAGGTAGCTACACAATATCAGTTACGATAATGATGTGGCAGTGAAGATGAGCTCTCGGGTAGTGTAGAACGCGGGCCGAATCTTAAGGACTATATCAGGCAGGACTCATGGATGGTCCTTGAGGCAAGCTATAGCATCTCATATTTATTTCGTTAGTGGTCCGTTTCACTCAGAAGCGGCAGGCATTATAGCCTGAGGTTGTCTCAAACCTTTCAGAGGTGGGTAGGTTTAAGGAGTAAGGCTCATCTATACCTTTGCGAGAGGGATAACTGTGGAGGGTCTGAGAAAGATCAGCCCAAGTTTCGCAGTGGCCAGGTCTACTACGGCTTGCTTGACAAGAATTTCGGCTGGTTTTTTAATGCGACTTCTACCTCGCGGAGGTGGACGCTTGCGCACCCTGCGCAGCACTCAGAGTCCTTCTTGCCACTTTGTAAACAACTGCTTGCTTGGAGTTCTCTGGGTTCAAGAAAGAAGAAACAAAAGTATGGAATTAGAAGTTATATTGGAAAGTTCTGCCTGTGGTACTTGTTAGTTTTCTTGGATTCTCGTGTATTTATGCTTCACTCTCGGACCATCCATCGGATCTTCGATTATGTCTTCGCGAATTATTGACTGAGCCAAAGGCATTTTTACCTCAGACTTAGAGCGTGTCAGAGGAGTGCAGAGATGACTGATTACCAAGAATGGCCTTTGTTGTATTTGTGTAGAAATAATTTATCTTATTGAAGACATATTCCGTATAGTAGTCCAAAGCCCCGCTTTTCCATCCGTCTTATGTATCTGCCCCACACTTCGGCGGAACTTGTCTTGTGCCGCCTTTGGGGGATTTAATCATGATTCTTAGGCTACTATAACAGACCCAGACTCACAAATTCGTTGGCTGCCCCATTAGCGCAGTGGTAGCGCGTTGCTCTTATACTTTGGCTTCTGGTTGTCCAGCGCCCATAGATATGCAAAGGCCGTGAGTTCGACCCTCACATGGAGCACAATTTTTGTCCTATTTGTCCTTTTTCTATCTAATATCGCTCTCTCTTGGTTTTTGATACGGCTTAGATTTTTTATTTTACTCGATTTTATAACAGCTGCGAGTTGTGTGGTTATATATTATTAAAATCGTTTTATTATCTAATATATAGGTCAAATGAAAAAGCTATCATGCTAACAATTCAATCCTCTAAACGACATCTATAGCAACATCTAGCATTGACTGGATACTACGGAGTTTTTGATGGCTGGAACCCCTGGCAACCTTTGATATCTAGATACCTAATTTTGCAAGCTTTCGACATGCAACCTGTTTCCCCTGATCTCCCCCCTGTAGTAAGATTGATTGCTAGCTCATTATCCATGACTCTTACTCGGAACATTAATGTATTCAATCTGGCTCTCCCTCAATGGCACGGAAATCGCCCCTCTAAATCAGATAGTTTCAGGCAATGGCGGCAGCACATATTGGTCATCATGAATGAGTTATTAACGGGTTGGTCAATTTGTCCTCCACTGTAGCTCTAACGAATATTCTACCGTAGCTAGTCCGGCTCATCTACGCGTTGCCGTATTTTGTCTCGGTGCCCTTGATTTGCCCCTTGTATATACCTCCCTTGGTAGTACTATTTCGAATTATTATGTCCTTTTTGGATCGAACCTTTCTATATTTTGTCTTCATTTCTTTCCTTTTTTTGTCTTGGTTTTCCTACCCAGATCCCCCCTTGTATCCCTTAGGATAAGATAGTTTCATAGAAGGGACGGAATAGAGGCGATTCATTGCAAGCTCTCAATGACAATGGCGCTAGCACCGCCGCCACCGTTGCAGATACCAGCGACACCGATCTTAGCCTTCTTCTCGCGGAGGACCGTGGTCAAGGTGGTGACAATGCGAGCACCGGAGCAACCGAGGGGATGACCGATGGCGACGGAGCCACCGAAGACGTTGACCTTGTCGCTGGTGAGGCCGAGGATCTTCATGTTGGCGATGGCGACGACGGCGAAGGCCTCGTTGATCTCGTAGAAGTCGACGTCCTTGTCGGTGAGGCCGGCGTGCTTGAGGGCCTTGGGAATGGCGAGAGCGGGGGCGATGGTAAAGCGCTCGGGCTCGCGGGCGGCGTCACCCCAGCCGAGGATCTTAGCGATAGGTGTCACGCCGAGCTCCTTAACCTTGGCCTCGGACATGAGAACGACGGCGGCAGCACCGTCGTTGAGGGGGGCGGCGTTGGCGGCTGTGACGGAGCCGTCCTTGGGCTTGAAGACGGGCTTAACAGTCTTGAGCTTATCAATGTTGAGGTTCTTGACCTCCTCGTCGGTGGTGATCGAAACAGGGGGCTTGCCACGGCCGCCGCTGACCTCGACGGGAACGATCTCTTTGGAGAAGATGCCGTCGGCGGTGGCCTTCTGGGCGCGCTGGTAGGTCTCGATGGCATAGGCATCCTGCTCTTCGCGCGAGACGCCGTGGTCGTCGGAGCAGAGCTCGGCGGCGAGACCCATGTGCTCCTTCTTGTAGGCGTCGGTCAGACCGTCCTTCAACATGCCATCAACGAGGCTTTGGTCGCCGAACTTGGCGCCGTTGCGGAGGGTGGGGAGGTAGTGTGGGGTGTTGGACATGGACTCTGTGCCGCCGGCAACGACGATGTCGGCGTTGCCTGTGATAATGGTCTGGGCGCCGAAGATGATGGCCTTCATGCCCGAGGCACAGACCTTGTTGACGCCGGTGCAGGGGACTGTGTTAGCTAGGCCGGCACCAATGGCGCATTGGCGGGCGGGGGCTTGTCCGAGGCTGTTGAGAGTGAGTGTCAGTGCCACCAATTGCAACGTGTCTTGGATGATTTCTGACTTACTTGGCAGACAAGACATTGCCGTAGAAGACCTCCTCGACGTCCTCGGGTTTTATTTGGGGGACACGCTCAACAGCAGCTGCAAATCGAACAGGTTGGGTTAGTGAACCAAGCCCAATGAGAGTAGTTGGGGGGGGGGGGGATTACAAGAGCTTACCTTTGATGGCGGCAGAGCCTAGTTGGGTAGCACTGAGGCTCGAGAGGGTACTATAAGAGAGATTGTGAGCTCATGTTTGTCTCTCCTCTTCCCTCTTCCTTCTAAGTCATATCGTATCGGCAGGAGGAATAGCTTCTTACCCAAGGAACGAGCCTACAGGGGTTCTCGCGGCGGAGACGATGTAGACGGGAGGAAGGCCAGACATGTTGGGCTAAGCAGTTTGATCTTGAATCGAGTGGTAAAACGGAGGAGCAACAGAGAGGAAGGGGGAAGGGTGTTGCGAAAGTAAATGATGAGGGAGAGATATATACCTCCTAACTAGGTATCCTAGATATGTTCTTGGATAGGTAGCTCGACAGAATTCCTAGATATAATCTGACTAAGGAAACAAAAGCCCACACCGCCGTCTCTTTCTAGGATTCCCGAACAGCTGTTTAGCGAGTAATTTGTGTGGAATTCTACCGCTTTCTATTTGTCAAGGGTAATGTCAAGGGTAAGCATGGTCGCGGGGTCGGTGACTTCTAGTCTAGGATTTCCCGAACCAGTAGGTGGGGTTTCCTACGCCCTTCTTATCGTGCCCGTACTCGGCATTGATTGTGGTCTTGATTACTGATGTGCCGCTTCCTCCAGACTCCTCTACTCCAGTCGATTACTCAGGATGCAAGGACCAGCGAGGTGAGATCCTGAATAGATCAATCTAAATGTTGAATTGGCATGATGTGGAGTTCTAGGAACGTTTTGATTAGGAACGCATCAAGCAAAAAAAAAAAAAAAAAAAAAAAAAGAAAAAAAGAAAAAAAAAAAAATCACAGACATCTACGTATCCATATTAGCATGCAGGTGAGACTGCCGGGGCTGGCAGTAGTAGGTACAGCAAGGGTCCATCCGGGATCTCTTGCCTGCTAACCTTCATTATGCCGCCACCAGACCCATCCTACTTGCCTACATACATAACTGGTCCGGGGTCTTATAGACTCTCCAGCCACCAAAAGCCCCATATTAAAAGTTCAGGTAGTACCACCTCAGCCTCAGCCTTGCAGTGTCGCGTCTTGTAGCTTGAACTTTTCTGGAGCTCGAAACCTCGAGCATTTCTGGTTGCAGTCGCAAACAAGAAACAACAATCAAAGTCGCCATGGATGACCTCTACGATGAGTGCGCACTACCATTAACCCTTTCGTTTTCCAAATCAAGCAAATGATGAATTACTAACTTCCGCATCTCCCATCCAGGTTCGGCAATTTTATCGGGGAAGATGCCGACGTATCTGAGGAAGAGTCCGAGCATGGCGTCGACACCGGTGCCTACCTCGACGACGAGTATCCCGAGGAGGCCGCCGAGATAACAGGCCAAGAGCTGATGGAAATCGACGACGATGGTCCCTCCAATGCCGTTATATTACACGAAGACAAACAATATTATCCCACCGCCCAGCAGGTCTATGGCGCCGATGTCGAGACCCTCGTGCAAGAGGAAGATGCCCAGCCCCTCACCCAGCCCATCATCGCCCCTGTCGAGGTCAAGAAGTTCTCCGTCGAGGAAGCCGATCTCCCCCCTGTCGTATTCGACCGCAACTTCATGACCGATCTCATGAACTTCCCCGATCAGATCCGAAACATCGCTCTCGCCGGCCACCTACACCATGGCAAGACTGCCTTCATGGACATGCTTGTCCTCGAAACACATAACATCTCCGACCGCTTAGAGAGTCGTCTTGGCCGGCAGCGTGAGGAACAACTACGGTACACCGATACCCACATCATGGAGAGGGACAGGGGCCTCTCCATCAAGGCTGCCCCCATGAGCCTGGTGCTGCAGAGCACAAAGGGCAAGTCGCATCTCTTCAACATCATCGACACTCCAGGACATGTCAACTTTGTCGATGAAGTCGCTGCTTCCTTGCGCCTTGTGGATGGTGTCGCCCTTGTTGTAGACGTCGTCGAAGGCGTCCAAGTCAACACAGAACAGATCATTAAACATGCCGTGCTTGAGGATATTCCGTTGACCTTGATAATCAACAAAATGGACCGATTGATATTGGAGTTGAGGCTGCCTCCTACCGACGCCTATTTCAAGTTGAAACACGTCATTGAGGAAGTAAATACCCTTATCGAGAAGACGAAACCTGGATCTGGCCCAACCAAACGATTAAGTCCTGAAAAGGGCAATGTTCTATTTGCCTGCAGCGATATGGGCTGGTCTTTCACTCTCCAATCCTTCGCCTCCATGTACGCCGACAGTTTCCCTGGTGTTAATACAGAAGAGTTCGCGCGGCGTCTTTGGGGCGATGTCTACTACAACCCTAAGAAACGAACCTTCAGCAGAAAGCCCTTACCGGGAGAACAATCGGCGAAGAGATCATTTATCAACTTCGTCCTCGAACCGATATACAAAATCTTTTCGCACAGTATTAGTCAGAGCCCCGATGAGCTGAAGAACATACTCGCGCCATTGGGTATACAGCTCAAGCCATCACAGTACAAGGACGATGCGAAAGTGATTCTTAAACTCGTTTGCGAACAGTTCTTTGGCCCCTCGACTGGGTTTGTGGATATGATTGTCAAGCACATCCCATCACCTGTCGAGGCAGCTGAACATAAGTTACAACGTTACTATACGGGGCCTCTTGACACTAAAGTTGCCGAATCGATGAAAAAGTGCGACCAGGATGGTCCCTTAATCGTTCACGTGACGAAGCTCTTTAATTCGTCTGATGCCAAGAGCTTTTATTCATTCGGCCGGGTTATGAGCGGTATAGCCCGTCCTGGAATGCAGGTTCGCGTTCTCGGCGAGGGCTATTCTATTGATGATGAAGAAGATATGACGATGGCGACGATAAATGATGTCTATATCGCCGAGACGCGGTATAATGTTTATACTACTGGTGTCCCCGCGGGCAACTGGGTGCTGCTTGGTGGCGTGGACAATTCCATTGTTAAATCCGCCACCATCGTTCCACCCAAGCTGGAGGACGACGAAGATGCTTATATCTTCAAACCAGTCT